CCTATATGATTTCAATGTATAAATAAAAAAAAATCAAATTTCTTATTGGTGAAAATTTATTATAATTGAAATTTATAAATAATTGATTGTGAAAATTGAATACATATTAAGTATAAAAACAATAAAAATTTATAAACTATACATTTCTATTTTTTTTAATTATATACAAATTATGAACTTAAAATGAAGGAGTGCCTTAGGCGTTCTACTTGAAAAAAAAGTATTTAGTCGAAATATCAAATTCGAAATGAAATGTTAATTAATTTTGAAACAAAATAATATATTTTTATCGAAATATTTCTGAAGAAAAAGCTTCACAATTTTCATCTCAATATAATTAGTTGAGGATAGAATATATTCCAGTCACAAATTTCAATTCTACTTTTGTCTTTTTTATGTCGCTGGGAATATGTGATATTGATTCCTTAACTAGTCGTGATTGGGATTTGATGCTGATTTTTAATAATAAAAAGAACAATTTTATCTTTATCATTCAATATTTCTTCATAGAACTACTAAAAACTTAGTTGAAATGAATCTCTTATTATTTTATTATAGCATCATTGATACAATAGCTTTTTCACGCAAAACAATAACACATTTCCGATCCATGTATAATTGAACATAGTCCACCTTTAGTAAATCCTTTGGCGTTGCAATCAGATGGGCAGTTTGTAGGGCATTGTGATACGCAGCAAACTTGTGGAGGTCCTGGTTCACCAATTAAACAATGTTTTATAAAACCGTCTCTTGTAGGACTCTCCAAATTAGTATTGAATCCTGGATCAATTCATTGTAAGAATTTATATTCATGTACATAAATTTTCGGAAAATGAAATTCAAAAGACAAAACTAACATTCTTCTTACCAGAGACCATGGCTAAAGATATACATAAAATTCTCAAAATATAAGATTGATAGATATGAAACGCCATTTGGTATTGCATGATGAAAGGCTAACAAATGTTCTAATTATATATACTTCACACATAATCGTATTTTATTAAATATTATTAAAGATGACTTAAGTAATATTAGTAATGAACATAAATACAATATTTTTATAGTATTTCAACCCAACTAGTCAAATGTAAAAATTTAAAGAAAACAATTTGGGTGATAAAGTTTGAATTTTTTGTAATGGGGCAATAAAAATTACCTATATTGTATAATATAATACTCATTTTCATAATATCATATATTTTTTATAAAAGTATATGTTTATTTTTACATATGTAATAAAACATATAAAACAAAGTGATTTAAATAATCTCTTTGTTCCTAAAAAAACATACATAAGAAAAAAATGTCATACTCAAATTTAGATATATTTAATTTTTTTTTAATAAATCCATAGTAATATCATAAAAAATTTGAAATATAAAATATAAATTTATAAATATTTGACTGTAAAAATTAAATTTAGGTATATTAATCTAAACTGGAAACCAATGAAACTTCACAATTATAGTAAGAACGAATTTTCCACGGAAGCATAACCTCCACAAAACCGACCTCGCGGGATGATTGACTTAATGGTTTGTCGATTTTTCAGAACTTAATGTCTTATATGAAGCTAGAATGGCATTAAAAGGCTAGCAAATCCCAAATTTATTAATAAAGATGATGTCTGCAGAACTTGAACCGTCACATCCTTGGATGGTATTAACCGACGCGTCATCGAATAGGTGAGGAAGTGGGGTTGGACTCATTCTCTAAAACAAAGTCAGATTGACTATGCAACTATCTCTGAGCTTTTAATTTTTTACCAATAATTATTAAGCCAGTTACAAAGCTATGATAATCGGTCTTACATTAGTATCAAGTAGTACTACAAGCAAGAATGTAAAAATATATTCAAAATCAAAAACTAGGCTTACAAAGGAAATCACCTAAAAAAAGGCTGTAAAGAGTAGAATCCAAGAAAGAGACATTTTGAAAAAGAAAAAAAAACATCAATATTTTTTGTTCTCTTATCTTTATGCTTTTGAATACAAAGAAAAATAAATATTTTTTGTAAAGAAAAAAATATGAAAAAGTGAAACCTACAATTTAAAAAATTAATAAAGAAAAAGAGTAAGAATTTTGTACATAAGACAGTGAGATAACATTGGCAAGAGGATGTTAAAGAGAGATAGATAGATAGAGAGAGAGACGGAGAGAGCGTCAGCATTGAAACTAACTTGATTTATGGATTTATCTTTTATTTATTTTCCTATATGATTTCAATTTATAAATAAAAAAAAATCAAATTTCTTATTGGTGAAAATTTATTATAATTGAAATTTATAAATAATTGATTGTGAAAATTGAATACATATTAAGTATAAAAACAATAAAAATTTATAAACTATACATTTCTATTTTTTTTAATTATATACAAATTATGAACTTAAAATGAAGGAGTGCCTTAGGCGTTCTACTTGAAAAAAAAGTATTTAGTCGAAATATCAAATTCGAAATGAAATGTTAATTAATTTTGAAACAAAATAATATATTTTTATCGAAATATTTCTGAAGAAAAAGCTTCACAATTTTCATCTCAATATAATTAGTTGAGGATAGAATATATTCCAGTCACAAATTTCAATTCTACTTTTGTCTTTTTTATGTCGCTGGGAATATGTGATATTGATTCCTTAACTAGTCGTGATTGGGATTTGATGCTGATTTTTAATAATAAAAAGAACAATTTTATCTTTATCATTCAATATTTCTTCATAGAACTACTAAAAACTTAGTTGAAATGAATCTCTTATTATTTTATTATAGCATCATTGATACAATAGCTTTTTCACGCAAAACAACAACACATTTCCGATCCATGTATAATTGAACATAGTCCACCTTTAGTAAATCCTTTGGCGTTGCAATCAGATGGGCAGTTTGTAGGGCATTGTGATACGCAGCAAACTTGTGGAGGTCCTGGTTCACCAATTAAACAATGTTTTATAAAACCGTCTCTTGTAGGACTCTCCAAATTAGTATTGAATCCTGGATCAATTCATTGTAAGAATTTATATTCATGTACATAAATTTACGGAAAATGAAATTCAAAAGACAAAACTAACATTCTTCTTACCAGAGACCATGGCTAAAGATATACATAAAATTCTCAAAATATAAGATTGATAGATATGAAACGCCATTTGGTATTGCATGATGAAAGGCTAACAAATGTTCTAATTATATATACTTCACACATAATCGTATTTTATTAAATATTATTAAAGATGACTTAAGTAATATTAGTAATGAACATAAATACAATATTTTTATAGTATTTCAACCCAACTAGTCAAATGTAAAAATTTAAAGAAAACAATTTGGGTGATAAAGTTTGAATTTTTTGTAATGGGGCAATAAAAATTACCTATATTGTATAATATAATACTCATTTTCATAATATCATATATTTTTTATAAAAGTATATGTTTATTTTTACATATGTAATAAAACATATAAAACAAAGTGATTTAAATAATCTCTTTGTTCCTAAAAAAACATACATAAGAAAAAAATGTCATACTCAACTTTAGATTTTTTTTTTAATAAATCCATAGTAATATCATAAAAAGTTTTGAAATATAAAATATAAATTTATAAATATTTGACTGTAAAAATTAAATTTAGGTATATTAATCTAAACTGGAAACCAATGAAACTTCACAATTATAGTAAGAACAAATTTTCCACTGAAGTATATCCTCCACAAAACCGACCTCGTGGGATGATTGACTTAATGGTTTGTCGAGTTCTCGGAACTTAATGTCTTATATGAAGCTAGGATGGCATTAAAAGTCTAGAAAATCCCAAATTATTAATAAAGATTATGTCTGCAGAACTTGAACCATCACATCCTTGGACGGTATTAACCGACGCGTCATCGAATAGGTGAGGAAGTGGGGTTGGACACATTCTCTAAAACAAAGTCAAATTGACTATGGAACTATCTCTGAGCTTTTAATTTTTTACCACTAATTATTAAGCCGGGTACAAAGCAGTGATAATTGGTCTTACATTAGTATCAAGTAGTACAACAAGCAAGAATGTAAAAATATATTCAAAATCAAAAACTAGGCTTACAAAGGAAATCACCTAAAAAAAGGTTGTAAAGAGTAGAATCCAAGAAAGAGACATTTTGAAAAGAAAAAAAAAACATCAATATTTTTTGTTCTCTTATCTTTATGCTTTTGAATACAAAGAAAAATAAATATTTTTTGTAAAGAAAAAATATGAAAAAGTGAAACCTACAATGTAAAAAATTGATAAGGAAAAAGAGTAAGAATTTTGTACATAAGACAGTGAGATAACATTGGCAAGAGGACGTTAAAGAGAGATAGATAGAGAGAGAGAGAGACATAGAGAGCGTCAGCATTGAAACTAACTTGATTTATGGATTTATCTTTTATTTATTTTCCTATTTGATTTCAATGTATAAATAAATAAAAAATCAAATTTCGTATTGGTGAAAATTTATTATAATTGAAATTTATAAATAATTGATTGTGAAAATTGAATACATATTAAGTATAAAAACAATAAAAATTTATAAACTATACATTTCTATTTTTTTTAATTATATACAAATTATGAACTTAAAATGAAGGAGTGCCTTAGGCGTTCTACTTGAAAAAAAAGTATTTAGTCGAAATATCAAATTCGAAATGAAATGTTAATTAATTTTGAAACAAAATAATATATTTTTATCGAAATATTTCTGAAGAAAAAGCTTCACAATTTTCATCTCAATATAATTAGTTGAGGATAGAATATATTCCAGTCACAAATTTCAATTCTACTTTTGTCTTTTTTATGTCGCTGGGAATATGTGATATTGATTCCTTAACTAGTCGTGATTGGGATTTGATGCTGATTTTTAATAATAAAAAGAACAATTTTATCTTTATCATTCAATATTTCTTCATAGAACTACTAAAAACTTAGTTGAAATGAATCTCTTATTATTTTATTATAGCATCATTGATACAATAGCTTTTTCACGCAAAACAACAACACATTTCCGATCCATGTATAATTGAACATAGTCCACCTTTAGTAAATCCTTTGGCGTTGCAATCAGATGGGCAGTTTGTAGGGCACTGTGATACGCAGCAAACTTGTGGAGGTCCTGGTTCACCAATTAAACAATGTTTTATAAAACCGTCTCTTGTAGGACTCTCCAAATTAGTATTGAATCCTGGATCAATTCATTGTAAGAATTTATATTCATGTACATAAATTTATGGAAAATGAAATTCAAAAGACAAAACTAACATTCTTCTTACCAGAGACCATGGCTAAAGATATACATAAAATTCTCAAAATATAAGATTGATAGATATGAAACGCCATTTGGTATTGCATGATGAAAGGCTAACAAATGTTCTAATTATATATACTTCACACATAATCGTATTTTATTAAATATTATTAAAGATGACTTAAGTAATATTAGTAATGAACATAAATGCAATATTTTTATAGTATTTCAACCCAACTAGTCAAATGTAAAAATTTAAAGAAAACAATTTGGGTGATAAAGTTTGAATTTTTTGTAATGGGGCAATAAAAATTACCTATATTGTATAATATAATACTCATTTTCATAATATCATATATTTTATATAAAAGTATATGTTTATTTTTACATATGTAATAAAAGATTTAAAACAAAGTGATGTAAATGATCTCTTTGTACCTAAACAAAAACTTACATAAGAAAAAAATGTCATACCCAAATTTAGATATATTTAATTTTTTTTAATAAATCGATAGTAATATCATAAAAAGTTTTGAAATATAAAATATAAATTTATAAATATTTGAGTGTAAAAATTAAATTTAGGTATATTAATCTAAACTGGAAACCAATGAAACTTCACAATTATAGTATGAACGAATTTTCCAGTAAATTATATCCTCCACAAAACCGACCTCGTGGGATGATTGACTTAATGGTTTGTCGAGTTCTCGAAACTTAATGTCTTATATGAAGCTAGGATGGCATTAAAAACCTAGCAAATCCCAAATTTATTAATAAAGATGATGTCTGCAGAACTTGAACCATCACATCCTTGGATGGTATTAACCGACGCATCATCGAATAGGTGAGGAAGTGGGGTTGGACTCATTCTCTAAAACAAAGTCAGATTGACTATGGAACTGTCTCTGAGCTTTTAATTTTTTACCACTAATTATTAAGCTGGGTACAAAGCAGTCATAATCGGTCTTACATTAGTATCAAGTAGTACAACAAGCAAGAATGTAAAAATATATTCAAAATCAAAAACTAGGCTTACAAATGAAATCACCTAAAAAAAGGTTGTAAAGAGTAGAATCCAAGAAAGAGATATTTTGAAGAAGAAAAAAAACTTCAATATTTTTTGTTCTCTTATCTTTAGGCTTTTGAATACAAAGAAAAATAAATATTTTTTGTAATGAAAAAAATATGAAAAAGTGAAACCTACAATGTAAAAAATTGATAAGGAAAAAGAGTAAGAATTTTGTACATAAGACAGTGAGATAACATTGGCAAGAGGACGTTAAAGAGAGATAGATCGATAGAGAGAGAGAGAGAGAGAGAGAGACAGAGAGAGCGTCAGCATTGAAACTAACTTGATTTATGGATTTATCTTTTATTTATTTTCCTATTTGATTTCAATGTATAAATAACAAAAATTCAAATTTCTTATTGGTGAAAATTTATTATAATTGAAATTTATAAATAATTGATTGTGAAAATTGAATACATATTAAGTATAAAAAGAATAAAAATTTATAAACTACACATTTCTATTTTTTTTTAATTATATACAAATTATGAAATTAAAATGAAGGAGTGCCTTAAGAGTTCTACTTGAAAAAAAAAGTATTTAGTTGAAATGTCAAATTCGAAATGAAATGTTAATTAATTTTGAAACAAAATAATATATTTTTATCGAAATATTTCTGAAGAAAAAGCTTCACAATTTTCATCTCAATATAAATAGTTGAGGATAGAATATATTTTGGTCACAAATTTCAATTCTACTTTTGTCTTTTTTATGTCACTGGTAATATGTGATATTGATTCCTTAACTAGTCGTGATTGGGATTTGATGCTGATTTTTAATATTAAAAAGAACAATTTTATCTTTATCATTCAATATTTCTTCATAGAACTACTAAAAACTTAGTTGAAATGCATCTCTTATTATTTTATTATAGTGTCATTGATACAATAGCTTTTTCACGCAAAACAACAACACATTTCCGATCCATGTATAATTGAACATAGTCCACCTTTAGTAAATCCTTTGGCGTTGCAATCAGATGGGCAGTTTGTAGGGCATTGTGATACACAACAAACTTGTGGAGGTCCTGGTTCACCAATTAAACAATGTTTTATAAAACTGTCTCTTGTAGGACTCTCCAAATTAGTATTGAATCATGGATCAATTGATTGTAAGAATTTATATTCATGTACAGAAATTTATGGAAAATGAAATTCAAAAGACAAAACTAACATTCTTCTTACCAGAGACCATGGCTAAAGATATACATAAAATACTCAAAATATAAGATTGATAGATATGAAACGCCATTTGGTATTGCATGATGAAAGGCTAACAAATGTTCTAATTATATATACTTCACACATAATCTTATTTTATTAAATATTATTAAAGATGACTTAAGTAATATTAGTAATGAACATAAATGCAATATTTTTATAGTATTTCAACCCAACTAGTCAAATGTAAAAATTTAAAGAAAACAATTTGGGTGATAAAGATTGAATTTTTTGTAATGGGGCAATAAAAATTACCTATATTGTATAATATAATACTCATTTTCATAATATCATATATTTTATATAAAAGTGTATGTTTATTTTTACATATGTAATAAAAGATTTAAAACAAAGTGATTTAAATGATCTCTTTGTTCCTAAACAAAAACTTACATAAGAAAAAAATGGCATACCCAAATTTAGATATATTTAATTTTTTTTAATAAATCCATAGTAATATCATAAAAAGTTTTGAAATATAAAATATAAATTTATAAATATTTGACTGTAAAAATTAATTTTAGGTAGATTAATCTAACCTGGAAACCAATGAAACTTCACAATTATAGTAAGAAAGAATTTTCCACTGAAGCATATCCTCCACAAAACCGACCTCGCGGGATGATTGACTTAATGGTTTGTCGAGTTCTCAGAACTTAATGTCTTATATGAAGTTATGATGGCATTAAAAGCCTAGCAAACACCAAATTTATTAATAACGATGATGTCTGCAGAACTTGAACCATCACATCCTTGGATGGTATTAATCGACGCGTCATCGAATAGGTTAGGAAGTGGGGTTGGACTCATTCCCTAAAACAAAGTCAGATTGACTTTGGAACTATCTCTGAGCTTTTAATTTTTTACCACTAATTATTAAGTCGGGTACAAATAAGTGATAATCGGTCTTACATTAGTATCAAGTAGTACAACAAGCAAGAATGTAAAATTATATTCAAAATCAAAAACTAGGCTTACAAAGGAAATCACCTAAAAAAAGGTTGTAAAGAGTAGAATCCAAGAAAGAGACATTTTGAAAAAAAAAAAAAAACTTCAATATTTTTTGTTCTCTTATCTTTATGCTTTTGAATACAAAGAAAAATAAATATTTTTTGTAAAGAAAAAAATATGAAGAAGTGAAACCTACAATGTAAAAAATTGATAAGGAAAGAGAGTAATAATTTTGTACATAAGACAGTGAGGTAACATTGGCAAGAGGACGTTAAAGAGAGATAGATAGAGAGAGAGAGAGAGAGACAGAGAGAGCGTCATCATTGAAACTAACTTGATTATTGGATTTATCTTTTATTTATTTTCCTATTTGATTTCAATGTATAAATAACGAAAATTCAAATTTCTTATTGGTGAAAATTTATTATAATTGAAATTTATAAATAATTGATTGTGAAAATTGAATACATATTAAGTATAAAAAGAATAAAAATTTATAAACTTCACATTTCTATTTTTTTTTAATTATATACAAATTATGAAATTAAAATGAAGGATTGCCTTAAGAGTTCTACTTGAAAAAAAAAGTATTTAGTTGAAATGTCAAATTCGAAATTAAATGTTAATTAATTTTGAAACAAAATAATATATTTTAATCGAAATATTTCTGAAGAAAAAGCTTCACAATTTTCATCTCAATATAAATAGTTGAGGATAGAATATATTTCGGTCACAAATTTCAATTCTACTTTTGTCTTTTTTATGTCACTGGTAATATGTGATATTGATTCCTTAACTAGTCGTGATTGGGATTTGATGTTGATTTTTAATATTAAAAAGAACAATTTTATCTTCATCATTCAATATTTCTTCATAGAACTACTAAAAACATAGTTGAAATGCATCTCTTATTATTTTATTATAGTGTCATTGATACAATATCTTTTTCATGCAAAACAACAACACATTTCCGATCCATGTATAATTGAACATAGTCCACCTTTAGTAAATCCTTTGGCGTTGCAATCAGATGGGCAGTTTGTAGGGCATTGTGATACACAGCAAACTTGTGGAGGTCCTGGTTCACCAATTAAACAATGTTTTATAAAACCGTCTCTTGTAGGACTCTCCAAATTAGTATTGAATCCTGGATCAATTGATTGTAAGAATTTATATTCATGTACAGAAATTTATGGAAAATGAAATTCAAAAGACAAAACTAACATTCTTCTTACCAGAGACCATGGCTAAAGATATACATAAAATACTCAAAATATAAGATTGATAGATATGAAACACCATTTGGTATTGCATGATGAAAGGCTAACAAATGTTCTAATTATATATACTTCACACATAATCTTATTTTATTAAATATTATTAAAGATGACTTAAGTAATATTAGTAATGAACATAAATGCAATATGTTTATAGTATTTCAACCAAACTAGTCAAATGTAAAAATTTAAAGAAAACAATTTGGGTGATAAAGTTTGAATTTTTTGTAATGGGGATATAAAAATTACCTATATTGTATAATATAATACTCATTTTCATAATATCATATATTTTATATAAAAGTGTATGTTTATTTTTACATATGTAATAAAAGATTTAAAACAAAGTGATTTAAATGATCTCTTTGTTCCTAAACAAAAACTTACATAAGAAAAAAATGGCATACCCAAATTTAGATATATTTAATTTTTTTTAATAAATCCATAGTAATATCATAAAAAGTTTTGAAATATAAAATATAAATTTATAAATATTTGACTGTAAAAATTAAATT